AGATCATTTCAATACTTGATCTGACAAAGACTTAATGGAAGAAATGGCTTTTCAGCGGGGCGGGGTAAGGAGAGGGAGTCCCAGCTTCCTTCCTCCAGTGGCTGGCAAGTTGCCCACCGTGGGCCAATGACTGAAACCCTCTGAGCAATATTTATTCTGTTTATATCCCAGAGTTGTCGTGCAGATCAAGCAAATCCCTCCGTGCTTGTCTCCTAGGACACAATTCATGGGCCTGCATCAGAACCGCATGAGTGCTGGTTTAAAGTGCAGTTCTGGGACCCAGAATCAGACTCTGAGGCTGGGGCCCAGGGGTCTGCCTTTAACAAGCCCCTCACTCCCACTGCAGCTGGAGAGCAGCCGAGAGAAGTCAATACTGGTCACAGTCAGACTCTAAAGGGTAAAATACTCACCAAGTGTAAAGAGATCTTTCTGTACTTCCTAAAGCGTAGCCTTCACCACTCTTCAGGCTCTGACTGGTGTGCATATCCGCTCCTTCATCAGGAATTACGTCTGGGTTGCCTGCCGCAGGTAGCATTAGCCGAGCCAGGTATGAAACACATGGGCAGCAGAGAGATCCACCCCAAGCCCTGCCTCCCGCTGCTCCGCTGTCCTGTCCGAGGCCAGCCGCTGGGGAGGAAGGTTACAGATGCCCCCACAGCCTCTGGAAGGAGGCACCGAGCAGCCTCGTCCTCCTCCTGCCAGCGGGCTCCGCTCAGCGTCAGCGGGGCCTCTGACACAGCTGTGTGATTACAAACTCCATGTTTATCCCCATGGGTTCCTATTTTTACCTCAGTTTTTAAAAATAGGCACTGACAGGCTAACCGAAAGTCGTTTTGGCACTTTAAAGGGAAAACATATGGGTAAGAATCATTGAATAATTGCTAAGTCCTCTGGCCTCGCCTAACTGGGCTTTTTGGCACGCAGACGCTTTCCCACCCGGTGGGGATTGAAGGGGTCAAGGGGAGTGACTCGGAGGAAGCACCGCTCTTTGCCCTTGGCGTTGATGGTTTTAATCCTCCCGGAAGACCTCCAAGGCACATTTCCCCCATTTTACTTCAATAAAGTGAGGCTCCATGTATTCAGTCCCTCGCCAAGGCTTCCGGGGAGGGAGGGTGGGTGAGGTTTCCAGAAAGCTGTGTTCCAGTGCAGAAGCCCCTTGCTCTCCCTCCGAACGGCCTCGAAGAAGATGCTGGATCCCCAGGGGGAGGTTAAAAGCCTGGTTCCAGCGGATTGCTTTTATAGAAACCTTGGTGATGTATCTCTCCTTTTAGGAACTGGAAAACATTCCGTTTACTGCCCTCCGTTGAGATCATTCTTACCAGATCTCTGACACAGCCCCATCCTGGCTGCTTATTTTGCTCCACATTTTCTTTCCCACTCGTCTAGTGATCCTGCAGTAATTATTATGTTGGTAATTACCTCATTAGTAGTTTGGTGTGAGAAAGCTCAGTGAAAGACTAATAAAAGGGCATCTCTTTATAGCTACAAGATGACAAATAGAGTTTTAATAGCCCCTAAACCCTCATTAAAAGAAAAGGGAGACTTTTGAAGTGCCAGTGTATCTCTTCATCAATACATGTTCCTCAGAAGAGTCCAAGTCTTCCCTGTGGTTTGAAGAGCCCATTTCTGGGTGAGTGACGGCATTCTGAAGGCTCTAGGACAGAAGAGCAGCAGCAACCACGACCGGCTTCACCCACCCACGGCTCCCCTGCCCAGGGCTTCATAAAGCTGGAAAGGACACATGGCCTGACAGGGAGCAGGGTCCCAGTTGTTGGTCCCCAGCTCCAGCACCTCAATGTCCCTTCTACTGAAACTGTTGCAGAATTGACAAGGTGACCAGAAAATACACGGAGAGTACTTGGAGATACAGGAGAAACCCATTTATTTTCAGATGTTTTGCATGTACTAGTACAGTGACTCAGGGGAGACTGTTTCTCTCCAAATCCTGAGCAAACCAATATGGAGGAAGCTCTCCCTTTATATCCTTTGGTTTCTTTGTCCCCCAAATATGGATGGGACTTCTGGACCTTTCGCAGGCTTTGCAAAAAGCCCCATGTGTTGGGATGGGGGCCGTGAGACCACACCTAAAGGCCTGGCCTGGTACCAGTGCTGATAACCCCCTCCAGGGGTTGTGTATTGTTCATGGTTTATGGCCTTGGTAAAATGTATTTAGGTAAATGGGTCTTGTAAGACCAGATTGTGGAGAAAGGGGCAGTGACTTAATTATAGGCTATCAAGAATGTGCATTAGGTTACTGGCTCAGATTCAGATTGCTAGCCCCCCAAAAATGTCTTATTTTCCCCATCAAAACCAGGTCGGAAGCCCCGAGGCAGAAACGGTGTCCTGAACAGCCTACCTGGCCCAGCTCTTGACAGGAGGAGTGGAGACATGTAATCAGGGCTTCTCAGCACGCAGTCCTGGCTCCCCTCCATTGGGCTTCCCTGACTGTCATGCACCCCCTTGTTCCCTACCCTCCAGGGCCCTGACCACAGCCACACGTCGGGGGTCTTTGTGGAATTTGCCTTCTCCATTTTGGGCATGAAAAGCCCTCTGCTTCCCATCTTTGGTGATTTCTTAATCATCGAAAGTCAACTCATGTCCTCTTCTACATTTCTGTCCCCTCTCTCATAAGGTAGAGTAAATCCTGTCATTTGTTTGCCCTTAGGACTTTTTACAGACTTCCTGTGTAATATCATTCATTCAGCAAATAGTTTTTCTTAAAAAAAAAGTTTTCGGAGAAACCAAGATGGCAGCATAGGTAAACACCGGGGATTGCTGCCTTGCACAACCACATCAAAAATACAACTAAAAGACAGAACGGACATCATCCAGAACCACAGGAAGGCTGGCTGAGTGGAAATTCTACAACTAGAAGGAAAGAGAAAAGCATACCGAGACTCAGAGGAGGTGCGGTGCAGAAGTAAAATACAGAGGTACAGAGGCGCATGCAGAGAGGGTTGGCTGCTGAGGACACAGTTGTCTTTTTCAATCGGGAGGGAGTCTCAAGCTCTGAGCTCCAGTTCTGGGCGAGTCTCTGGGGACCCAAGCTCATACGGGAGAAACTAGACTGTCTGGCATTGGTCAGAACTCTTTCTCTCCGGGGTGCTTGCAGTGATTGCCAGGACACTGAGAAGCAGGGCCTCTGAGGGCAGGACTGATGATCCCCTGGGACCCTGCCCTGCCCAAGCCATGGAGGCTTTTGCATATGAAAGGCCTGGCCCTTTGCAATCTGATAATTACCTAACAAACTGCAGCTGGCTGAAGGCCCCAGGGCAACTTGCATTGCGTCACAGCTGGCTCCTGCTGGATAGCCTCAGGCAGAAGCTAGGTTAGCACCTCCTTAGAGATCCAGGAGCCAGTGTGCCTGGTGGTCAGAGTGGGACCATCTAGATTGCAGCTCCTCGGATTCATAAAGGACACACTCAGGGGGCAGACTCAGTGAGCACCAAAGCCCCTTTGAAGCAAGTCTTGCCCTGGAGGGGTGTCTCCAGCACAGAAGTTCTCCCACTGCAGACAGCTGATTCTCACAGCCAATTGGCTTGGAGGTCAATCCCTCCCAGTGTTACCTAGAACAATCAAGGCTTAACTACAAGAAGACTGTGCACAAAGCCCACAAGGGGGTGCACCAAGAGGGTCTACCTCAGGTAATTGGGGAGGCTGAGCCACTGGGCCCTATAGGACACCTAGTACAGAAAGCCACTCTATCGACACAGCGAAGAATAAAAAAATGAGGAGACAAAGAAAAAGGACACAAATGACAGAAATGGAGGAAAGCAAACTACTGGATATAGAGTTCAAAACCAAAGGTTTTTCAAGAATTTTCTAGAAACCGCTGATAAACTTAATGAGACCCTCAAGAAATCTAATGAGACCCTCGAGGTTGTGATAAAAAACCAACTAGAAATTAAGCATACACGGACTGAAATAAAGAATATTATACAGACTCCCAACAGCAGACTAGAGGATTGCAAGAATCAAGTCAATGATTTGAAATATGAAGAAGCAAAAAACACCCAACCGGAAAAGCAAAATGAAAAAAGAATCCAAAAATATGAAGATAGTGTAAGGAACCTCTGGGACAGCTTCAAGCATACCAACATCCGAATTATAGAGGTGCCAGAAGATGAGAGAGAGCAAGATATTGAAAACCTATTTGAAGAAATAATGACAGAAAACTTCCCCTACCTGGTGAAAGAAATAGACATACAAGTCCAGGAAGCACAGAGAACCCCAAACAAAAGGAATCCAAAGAGGACCACACCAAGACACATCATACTTAAAATGCCAAGAGCAAAAGACAAAGAGAGAATCTTAAAAGCAGCAAGAGAAAGACAGTCAGTTACCTACAAGGGAGTACCCATACGACTGTCAGCTGATTTCTCAACAGAAACTTGGCAGGCCAGAAGGGAGTGACAAGAAATATTCAAAGTGATGAATGCCAAGAACCTACAACCAAGATTACTTTTTACAGCAAAGCTATCATTCAGAATTGAAGGTCGGATAAAGAACTTCACAGATAAGAAAAAGCTAAAGGAGTTCATCACAACCAAACCAGTATTATCTAAAATGCTGAAAGGTATCCTTTAAGAAGATGAAGAAGAAGAAAATGGTAAAGATACAAACTATGAACAACAAATACACATCTATCAACAAGTAAATCTAAAAAAAAAAACACACACAAAAAAAACCCTTAACTAAATGCCAGACAGGTAGTTAATCACTTTAACTATGAACAATCACCCTTAAGCTACATAATCTTTACTCCCTGGAATGGAGATAAGAAACGCCCTTACCTTTGGACTAGAAATTGACAGGATTAAAATCAACTGGTATAAATACAGATGTAACAAGACAATAAAAGACAGAACTTGGCTAGAGATCCTGGCTAGGCTGCTGATCAACAGAACGCTGTCTTAGTGTCATTCCTTCTTCGCCAACTCTGTCCACACCTTTGGGGACCCCTGGACCTGCTGGGGTTGGACCCCAACAGACAAGGACAAAAACAAAGAAAAGGTTCCAAGGAAGATGCTGTCTAGAGACTCCAGCCAAGAATATACGGACTCCACTGGAATAGACCTACATGAATTTCTTGTAAACACAGTGAAAAAGAACCCAAGGGACAGAATGATGCTGCTAAAATTAGAACAGGAGATTCTGGAATTTATTAATGACAACAATATCCAGTTCAAGAAGTTCCCTCAGATGACCTCATATCACCGGATGCTATTACACTGGGTAACTGCCTATTTTGGGATGGACCACAATGTTGATCAAACTGGAAAAGCTGTTATCATCAACAAAACCAGTAACACAAGAATCCCTGAGCAGAGGTTCTCAGAACATATAAAGGATGAGAAAAATACAGAATTTCAACAGAGATTCATTCTCAAGAGAGATGATGCCAGTATGGACCGAGCTGATAACCAGGTCAGAGTTCCATTGCAGGATGGAAGGAGGAGCAAGTCACTAAAAGAGAGAGAGGAGGAATATCAAAGGGTCCGAGAGAGAATATTTGCCCGAGAGACTGGCCAGAACGGATATCTAAATGACATCAGGGGGAACCGTGAGGGGCTAAGCCGCACCTCGAGCAGCCGCCAGAGCAGCACAGACAGCGAACTCAAATCCCTGGAGCCACGGCCTTGGAGCAGCACGGACGCTGATGGCTCTGTTCGAAGCATGCGGCCCCCTGTAACCAAAGCCAGCAGTTTCAGCGGAATCTCTATCCTCACCCGGGGTGACAGCATTGGGAACAGTAAAGCTGGCAGTGCAGGAAGGATCTCCAGGCCAGGTATGGCTCTAGGTGCCCCAGAAGTGTGCAACCAAGTCACCTCATCCCAGTCTGTCTGGAGCCTTCTCCCTTGTACTGCCCAGCAACAGCAGCAGCAGGAACTTCCTGCTCTTCCACCCATGTCTCAGCAACAGCCACCCTTGAATAATCACATGATCTCACAGGCAGATGACCTCAGCAACCCATTTGGACAGATGAGCCTTAACCGCCAAGGTTCTACTGAAGCAGCTGACCCATCCGCAGCTCTGTTCCAGCCCCCACTTATCTCCCAGCACCCTCAGCAGACTAGCTTCATCATGGCGTCCACAGGACAGCCCCTCCCCGCTTCCAACTATTCCACCTATAGCCATGCAACACCTACTCAGCAAGTCCTGCCACCCCAGGGCTATATGCAGCCTCCTCAGCAAATCCAGGTTTCTTACTATCCCCCTGGACAGTATCCTAACTCCAACCAGCAATATCGACCTCTCTCTCACCCGGTGGCCTACAGCCCCCAACGTGGTCAACAGTTGCCTCAGCTATCCCCACAGCCTGGTTTACAGCCCATGATGCCTAACCAGCAGCAGGCGGCTTACCAAGGCATGATAGGGGTCCAGCAACCACAGAACCAGGGCCTGCTCAGCAACCAGAGGAGTGGCATGGGGAGGCCAGATGCAAGGCCCGCTGGTTCAGTATACTCCACTGCCTTCTTACCAAGTCCCAGTGGGTAACGACTCGCAAAATGTGGTCCAGCCGCCTTTCCAGCAACCCATGATGGTCCCTGCAAGCCAATCTGTGCAAGGGGGTCTCCCAGCAGGAGGGGTACCAGTGTACGACAGCATGATCCCTGCGGCTCAGCAGAACGGTACGAGCCCTTCTGTGGGATTTCTGCAGCCTCCCAGCTCTGAGCAGTACCAGATGCCTCAGTCTCCCTTTCCCTGCAGCCCACCACAGATGCCACAGCAGTTCTCAGGAGTGTCACCTTCTGGACCAGGTGTGGTGGTCATGCAGCTGAATGTCCCTAATGGACCCCCGTCTCCCCAGAACCCATCCATGGTCCAGTGGAGTCACTGTAAATACTACAGCATGGACCAGCGGGGGCAGAAACCTGGAGACCTGTACAACCCTGACAGTAGCCCGCAGGCCAACACACAAATGAGTAGCAGCCCCGTCACATCTCCTACCCAGTCTCCAGCACCCTCTCCTGTCACCAGCCTCAGCAGTATCTGCACAGGACTCTGTCCCCTTCCCGTCCTTACACAGTTCCCCCGGCCTGGGGGTCCAGCACAGGGTGATGGGCGCTACTCCCCCTTGGGCCAGCCATCACAGTACAATCTGTCCATCTGCCGTCCTTTGCTCCATGGCCAGTCGACTTACACAGTGCACCAGGGACAGATGGATTGAAGCATGGAAAGCGGAGTAAGAGACAAGCACTCAAATCTGCCTCCACTGGCCTGGGGATGACAGATGTCATCCTGGGGCGGGTGCTGGAGGTGACAGACCTTCCTGAGGGCATCACTCGTACGGAGGCGGACAAGCTCTTCACTCAGCTCGCCATGTCCGGCGCCAAGATCCAGTGGCTCAAGGATGCTCAGGGGCTGCCTGCAGGGGGCGGGGGGGACAGTGGTAAGACTGCTGAGAATGGTCGCCATGCAGACCTTGCTGCCTTGTACACCATCGTGGCTGTGTTTCCCAGCCCCCTGGCTGCCCAAAATGCCTCCCTTCGCCTCAACAACTCCGTGAGTCGCTTCAAACTTCGAGTGGCCAAAAAGAACTATGACCTGCCCTAACCGGTTTGGCTCAGTGGATAGAGTGTCGACCTGCGGACTGAAAGGTCCCAGGTTCGATTCTGGTCAAGGGCATGTACCTTGGTTGCAGGCACATCCCCAGTAGGAGGTGTGTAGGAGGCAGCTGATCGATGTTTCTCTCTCATTGATGTTTCTAACTCTCTATCCCTCTCCCTTCCTCTCTGTAAAAAATCAATAAAATAATATTTTTTAAAAAAAGTTTTCATTGATTTTTAGAGAGAGAGGAAGGGAGAGGGAGAGAAAGAGAAACATTGATGTGAGAGAGAAACAATGATCGACTGCTTCCCACACACACCCTGACCTGACCAGGGATAGAACCCACAACCCTGGCATGTGCCCTGACTGGGAATCAAACCTGCAATCTTTTGGTGCACTGGCCGATGCTCAACCAACTGAGACACACCAGACAGGGCTCAGCAAATATCTTTACTCAGAGTCTCTTTTGCTTGGCCTGGTGATAGGACACAGCTACGATGGCCCACTCCACGGTCAGCTCTCATCTGGATTACTGAAGTAGCCTCCTATCCAGTTGCCATGCCTCCTCTTTACTCAAGCAGTGCCTGTTCTTAACCTCCTGAAACAGAAGGCAAAACATGTGGCTCAGCGCTAGATGGGAGTGCTCAAATCCTCCAGTGGCTCCCAGTCTCACACAGAATCAAATCAAATCCCTCACTCTGACGTGCAAGGCCCTACCCCATCTGCCTTCGTTCTCTGATCTTATCTCCACTCCTCCCCCTCTTCCCCTCATTAGCTCCAATTCCCTGACGCTGGCCTCAGTTCCTCACTCACACCTCTGGCCTCAGGGTCTTAGCATTCTGCCTGGAGCCCTCTTCCCCCAGATGTCCACAAAGCTCACTTCCTTCAGGTCTCTGTTCACACATCACTTCACCAGAGAGGCCACCCTGGACTCTAGGTAACACAGCACATATGTATACACACGGCACAGCACCTGGGACTCTGTCAGCCTCTGTCTTGTAAGAACTTAACACCACCTGACAATATAGAACTGCTCATTGATTTATTGTCCATCCCCCTCACTGGAATGTGAGTCACTGCTCTCAGGACAGCAAGGACTTTGTTCTGTCCTCTAGTGTGTCCCAATCTCCTATCCACGGCACCTAGGTTAATATATGTTGAATAAATGAATGAGAACATTATTGAGCACCACCCACCAATCACTCAACAAACACTAATGGAAAATCATATGTTTTGCTCATAGTATTGGCCAGAGAAGGGAGATTGAATTTCAAGTTATGTGAAGGTTAACATAAAAGACAACAGGCAGCTGGACCTGTTGGAAAGGTCATTTGCCTTCCCAAGTCCTATGGAATGGGGATTGATGAGCAAACACCAGGAAACGTGTAGAACACGGTGGAACAATTTTAATTGCCCTGTAAATGGTAACTGAAATGAAATGCTTATGTAATGGCACTTTGCAAACTGTTAGGTTTTTGTGCAGATCTTATATATTGTTGTTTGTAATGACAGTATATATGAGCAACTCTAAAATAATCCGTCTAGTCTGGTGGGGAAAACTGGACGAGGACATGAGAGGCTTGGGCGTGGTTCCAGCTTGGCCACGAGTTCGCTGAGTGACTTGATGCGGTTACTTTTCCTCTCTCCACTTCATCTCCCCAACCTGTAAAATTATCGCACTGCTTTAAATGACCTCTGGAATGTCTACCTGCTCTAAAGTTCAGGGCTCTAGGAATTGCTGGCTGGCCTGCTGGCTGGAGGGATGGATAGAGGACTCTAACTTCCATGACGCTTCCCCAGTCTTTACACTCTAGGTTGGTTTTAGTTTCTTCCTCACACTCTCTTTCCATTCTTTCCTAGTCCAGAAGAGCCATGCTCTTTATCTGAAAATTTTTTATATACACCCCTGAGTACATTTTAGAATCATAAAAGGCAGAAATGATGGTAACGGAGGATATGTATTCTGTGAGAAAGGAAGAAGAGAGATATATTTACTTGCATCTAAGAATTGGGGGAGCATATAAAGTTCATGGAGCCTGCTTCACTTGTGACGATCTGTTCGTTTTTAAGATTTTAAAAATTTGATTCTTAGAGACAGGAAGGGAGAGGGAGAGGGAGAGAGAGAAACATCATTGTGAGAGTGAAACATAAATTGACTGCCTCCTGCATGCCCCCTATTAGGAATCAAGCCCACAACTCGAGCATGTGCTCTGATCAGGAATCTAACCGGCCACCTTTCAGTGCACAGATGATGTCCCACCAACTGAGCCACACCAGCCAGGGCATGACTACCTGTTTTTGAGAGGCATTTCTTTACACACTTTCCCACAAGAATTACACATTGAGTCTTCCCTCTGGCAGATTACAACTTCAAATGGTTGGACAGGAAAAGACCCAGAAGATCATCTGAAAGAGAGCTCTTGCCCACCTAACTTGGTGTCCTTGGGCAAGTCCCCAGAGTTGGGATAGATGAGAACATAGAGCCTCCTGGGGGTTACCAGTAGGTCTACCACTCACTAGCTAAGTGACCTTGGGTAAGGCACCCCCACACCTCTTTTTTTCTAAAAATAGAATAGAGTTAATAGTGTTGAAGTAAGAATTAAATAAGTGAGGTAAACTAACTTGCCCCCAAGGTCACAGAATTAACCATTTGAACCCAAAGCCCGAGTAGGAAATGGATATAAAAAGAATCAGAAGAGACTCTCTTAGCATTTAAAACTATCTGTTGATAAAATTAATGAGTTTAAAGTAAGAGATGTCTAGATGGTGCCCTAAGAGGTAATTCTGCCATGGGTAGAAATTTACTCATTCACACACACTTGGTGTCCCTTGCAGCAAAATATACCAAAAATACCTTTGCAGGTGGCATTTGCTGGATGGAATTGTATTATTCCCTGTAAGTATCATAATTGGATACCCAGTGCCTTTCTCCTGGGGCAGCAGAAATAATCGCTTTTCATTGATCTCCTTTTAGACTTGACCTTGATGGTCCTTCCTGTCTCCTCCTAAATATATCAAAGCACCTGAGGAGAAAAGCATGTTCTCCTTTGGCTGGAGTTCACTTGGCTCATGTTCAGGTTTGTGTTCAGAAGCACACAATGAAAGAAGCTGGATCTAGATGTGATCTTTGAGTCACTGTGACCTTCTGGTCACCAGCCTTCGAATCTGCCTCTTCCCCGCCCCCGCCCCGTTCGTATTTGAGTTTTGTTAGCTAAGACAGCACCTGACAGCTGTCTGTCCTCATAGTTGTGAAAGTGCTTCTGTGCTATGATCTGACCCTCCGTTAAATAATCCCATCTGCAGGAGGAAGTGTGGGAAGGGGGCTCGCAAAGGGCAAAGGTCCATTAAGAAACATACCGCCACTGTGTTTCATTAAATCCTCACACTGCCACACAGGGTAGGTGATGTTGCCCCTGTGTTACAGGTAAGGAAACTACGGTTTAGAAAGGTCAGGTGGCTTTCCTGCAGTTATACAGCTGATAAATGGTATGTTTGGGATTCCAAACCCAAGCTCCTTCTGGTATGCCGTGCTTTGTTGTTGCTGAGAATGAGTGGGGATTGTGGAACAGACATGGCCTACAGTCCCACCAATGGTTAAATTTTACTCAGATGCAGCCTTCTTCAAAGTAATTCAGATTGTACTTAAACTAGTCACACTGGCACCCAACGCCTGCCGCCTGGAGCCAGGTACTGCGCCAGGCCCTTTACAGAACCTGTTTCATTTGTTCATCACCTTTCGTCCAAAGCTTTAAAGTGGTCTTTCTCAAAGTGTGTTCCTTAGAATCACCCAAGGAACATGTTATAATACAGATCCCAGGGATTTACCCCAGGGGTGGAAAGAGTGGAACTCTCTAGTAATGTTTGACACTCAGAGTTTGAGAACAATTATTCTTAAAAGGCAATAGATCCTTGTTATTAATGGAACACTTAAACTCACTCACTACCTTTTTTGAAGCCTTTCTAAGTTAAGCATTTTGCGTGTAAAATGTGGTTATGAACTCCTTTAATGAATACTGAGTTTACGAGGGATACAGGTAGGAAGCTGGAACTCAGTGCAGGACTTGGTTGAGTGAATTTCACTGGGCACCCGGAGGGATTTGAGGGAATTTATTTTTAGGACTGATTAGTAGGTCACAACTATAAAATTCAACTATAAATAGTCTAAAATTTGGCCTCCAGTCCAGACTTTTGTAATAGTCTATCATATATCAAGTAGACTCTTTTAAATATTTAAGTAAAATATTCATAATAAATTACATCAGATAAGATACGAATCTATAGATTTATTTCAACTCAATATCCTTTGTCAACGTCAACTATGCACTAGGTACAATGGTTTACAAAAACAAATAAGCTGGAGCATTCTACCAAACATTCAAAGGAGAATTAATACTCTTTTTTTTCCCCCACAAACTCTTCCCAAAAGTAGAAGAGAACACTTCACAGCTCATTCTGTCAGGCCAGTATTACTGTGGTACCAGAGCCAGACAGACAGACGCACGAGATTTACCCCGGAAGGTGGGACGTGTTTAAGCCCAAGTCACCTGCTGGTTCTCCAACTCTGGCAGGCGGATTTCAGGGAGAGGACTGGGACAGAAAGATCAGTTATGCACTCAGACAGTGATGATGATGGTGGTGATGACAGTAGTAGTGACTATAATTACAAGAGCACCTGCACATGGACTCACAGAGACACAGACTTGAAGTCCAGCAGTGTGTCTGTCAGGCATTCTTCTCTAAGGCAGGCCCTGGTCTTTTCCCTGCTCTAGGTATCTCATTGCTGTGGATATTTAAACTGTATCAATAGGAGAGACTGAAATCAATGCGTACCCTATGAACAGGAATTGGAACTTGTGCTCCTGTGTCAATAAGGCTTATACTCACTGACTTATTTCCTTTTTTAAAAATATGTTTTTATTGATTTTATAGAGGAAGGGAGAGGGAGAGAGAGAAGCATCAATGATGAGAGAGAATCACTCATCAGCTGCCTCCTGCACGCGCCCTGC